ATTATTATTATTATTATTATTATTATTATTATTATTATTATCATCATCATAATTATTATTATTATTATTATTATTGTTATTATTACTGACACTTCAGTATGACAGTTTATACTTATCCAAGTGGTTCGTATTAAATGACAACAATATAATATGGATGTCACTCGGTCGACGATAATATCATTAAGTTTTGAAAACCATCAACTCTTAATCCGAAACACTTTTAGACACGTCTATGTTCTTGATGTGTGATCCCAGAAAGCTTAAGTTGGCGATACGTACCTATAATATATAATGGTACTCGGATATAACAACCGTCGGATTTTCCTACACGATCACCAGCATCTGATCCTAGAAACTGTACAGGATTTTTCAGTTACTATATTTATAGCCAAGGGTGATAATTTCGATTGTGTGTATAAACTCGGTATTTTGACAAGTTTTATATCTTTCTCCCTCTTCCCTTTTATTATTATATTTGAACTTATGTAATTGACGGCCAGTAAAAACGAAAAATCCGAAATGTTTTTCTCTTCAGCTCCCGCAAAACAGGATAAAATCAAAAGACCGTTTCTCAACTGAAAATACCGCCGTACTTGGTTCGCTATTTTTCGCTAACAAAAACATATCTTTGAACAATAAATGTACAAACTCATACACAATGTCCCATAAACAATTTTCTACCTCGATTATTTCATTTATTTCTTACTTCATACAACTTTTCTTCTTTGGTATAATATTTATTAACTATATAAATAAATATACAAATATATATAATAATTATAATTTTAATTTTTAATTGATCACAGCAAATGGGTCTTACCATATTATTATGACACATTCTCTCTGAAGAAATATAATCAATAAAAGAATGCTTGGTGCCATCATACTTGAATGAGTAGTATTTCAAAACATAATATACAATATACAATATATATGATAGGTGGAAATTCATATCGTATACATGAGTATTATTATTAATTATTATTAAATTATATTATTATACAATAATATCACGACAATATTCAAATAGGAATAAGTCATTTTATTTTCGTTTCTTAACCAAAAACTCGTTTAAAATATACTATTTTATTTTAATATTATATAAGTGTAAAACAAATTATTATAAGCAACATTATAAAATTGAGTTTCAGAATAAATATAGTTTTTAAACTCTATTGTATTTTTTTTTTTTTACACTCTTATAATTCTTTTATTTATTACGTCTTCAATAATAAAACACAACAAACATACAAACATTTGTATTCGTCCATCTTTAAATCGTTTTTGTTTCATTGGTCCTTTACATATAATAAGGCCAATCATTGAATGCAAATAATCCAAAATATATTTCCAAAATATATTTTACTAAATGTTTGAGTCTAGATATATTTAAAATATTTTTTACCAAAATGGTTCTTAGTACTATTAGCTATTAACATTTTTCCAATTGAAAGTAAAACAATCACATCACCCATATTTTCATTCTCATAGAGATAGTCCTTCTTAACTTATCCATTTTCATAGTTTATAAATTAATATAATATCTTATTTCATTATAATTTATTATTTCTATAAAACATATAATAGTATAAATTAGTTTTTTACATGAATTATAAATAATTTTCATTCACTCCGTTTCTATTAGGAAAAAAATATTAAAATAATGATATCCTTTTTAATCTAATACGTATTTATAATATTTATAAATAATCATAATTATTTACAATTTTAATTAATATTTAATAAACATACATTAAATAGTAGAAATGAAAAATTTTAAGTATTATATTCTGAGTAGAAGGTCATTCAAAACAGTTTTTACTTAATCCTTAATAGGTTTGTATAACAATTTAAATTCATGTATGTTTAAATAACTTCAAAATGACAGTTCTTCAATTCCCAAGGAATTAAATTTATTTACTGCGAATAGCTCATATATTTCACTCAGATTACAATATAAAATTAGTTTTGGTTTAATTAATTTTTTTTTATTGAAATCAAACAATAACTCAACTAAATAATTTTAAAATATAAGTTAGTTAATATAAAACTTGTTCGTCTGTAGTAAACAAAACTATCAAATTCAAAGTGTACGATGTGTTTTATTTTACTAAAGTCGATAAACTTGTATAAATCTAACAGCTAAAATAATCTGGAATCATGACCTATTAAAAATTATTATTGTATAAAAACATGTGAAATATGATTATATAGCCAATGAGCTACAATTATACAGTTATCCGAAGGGGAACGTGATGATATATGGATCGTCATTCTTAATGGGTTTTTTTAATCAAAATTCTATCTTATATTAATTATTTAAATTTTTTAAATCATTATATTTTCAAATTTGGCAGTTGAACCCAATTTGACATGGAAACAGAAATGTTAATCATCATCAAGTACTAAAATGTACATTTAAAAAGTATATATGTGCAATAATAACAATATTATTGAGCTTATGAACACTCGCAGCTAAAGGGAGCACAACCTGTTCGAGCATAAAAATAAAAAATTAATATAAAAAGGAAAAAGCTTCATACTCCAATTACAGCGATTAATTATAGTCACAGCGCCGGAGAATAAAGATTGTTTTCAACTGTTATAATCTTGTGAAATTCCTGCGCGAAACCGCATTTATTTAAATTTAAAACCGTTCGACGAGCTTTCCACGGCGGTAAACGTACAACAATATGATTTATCATATCTAATTCGGTTTTCGATATCGAGCCGGCCACCTTTCTGTGGCCCATAAATCCGGCGTTTAAGTGCATAATTACGGAACGGCTTGGTGGTCGCCGCGATTACGGCTTCGCGTTGTGGCGTGCGGCAAATAAATATTTTTCGGGATTTACGTGCATCGCGTGCGGTGTCGACATTTTTAAACGTCATGTACTTACGCCCGCAACCGTGCACAAACACGGTCGCACGCATACACAGATTTACACGCGGGTACACACACACACACACACACACACACACACATGCACGCACGACGTGAGTTTAACCCTTGGTGAAGCAAAATTGTGTTTGTTCCGCGGCACACATTACGTGATTACACCGAATTTGACTTTCAAAAAACCCACCGAATCACACACACACACACACATGTAAACGCATGACGACAAACATCCGACGTGAAATTACATAATATTAATGCGTATGTGTACATAGCGTTTTGCTGGTATTCCCCGTTTCGGTCACATTTTTAATATCATCGAAAAATTTTTACCTGAACGACTGTTACTCGGATATCTTTGGTCGGCATGATTTCCGCGAAAACACCGTCCGAATCGAGCTTATGCACCGTTATTGCGTTTTCTTCCACCGAAATTATCACGATAATAGTTCCAGCGCGATGTTGTACACAAGTTATAAATGTTACAAGCGACTGGCGATTTTCTGGAACAATTTTCGTTAGTGAAAAGTTTTGGTTGAGGTTACAGCCGCTCGCCCTAGGTATATGTTATACCATTAACTTGGGTAGTTCAATGATTAGTCGAATCGAGTGAAAATATACTAATCCCATAAATCATAGATTTTGGTTACTACTCAACTGGACAGGTGAAAGAACAAAAAGCTATTTATATTATATATATATTAATAAAAATTATTAATTGAACATTTAAATTCTGAGCATGGGAAGTTCATCAATAAATATGTTATACAGTTCAATAATACTATAAGTACGTACCAACTCTAACTAGTTTTTCACTGCAATATAAAATGTTTAAATAATATATATCTACCTACAATAATATTCTGAATAAAAATCATATTAATAATTTAAATATTGACCTTTGTGAGGTTTACTAAATTTACTTATCAAATGTATGTCAAGTCTGTACGAAGTTAATGCTTTTAATGATAAATAAAAAAAAAAAAAAAACAATAATGAAGAATACTTCATTTTTCAATAGTTCAATAATCAATTGCTTGATAAAAATATTGAGTTCTTATCAATTTTAAAAAAAAGGTCGGTTCACCATAGATAATGAAGGCGCATGCGCACAATCAGTAGTGCATTCCTATATTTAAACGTTTCTCTTAATATAGGAACAATCAGAATGAACAATTCAGTGATTAATTTTTTTTTTTTGTTAAGAATTATACTATATTTTTATAGAGGATTACCGAGTGGATTTAATGATTGTACTTTAACACATGATCGCCAGTAAGAACCCAGTCACCAGCGATTTCGCTTACCTGATAAGATCACAGTCCTCAAAGAAAAAACTGCCACCACCCTTAATCAACTGTTCTATACAATTGTTAACCCTACTATACCACTACTATATAACATACCAAGTAGAGAGGCTAATGTCCCTGTTTTTGAAGCCTCTTTAAAATAAAATTAATTAATTAAATAATATTCGTCAGTTATTTAGAATAACTATTGATATATCTGTGATTTTTTCCCAGTAACAATAAAAGAAAGACATTTTTGAAGTTTAAGTTATACAAAAATTAATTTTGCTTCATACATTACCCATTCATAGTTGGTAAACATATGTACTTGTATTTGTTTATTTACCACGTTTTTTTTAAAAATTACTCGTAAATAGTAATCGAAATTAATAACTAAAATTAAGGCTTTGCACCCGAATAATTTTTTCGAGTTTCGGGTGTTGAATATATTGGGGTGTTCAAACACCGCAATACGACGTTTAAACAAACGTTTGGGTGTTAATAACCGTTATTATTCGGTTTAATATTGGTTAGTACGGGTGTTAAGTAGACAAGGAAAAATATTATTTTTCATAGATGGAGGGTGGTGAGGAGGCTGAGCCCCCCTCCACTAATGAAATATTTATACTTTTCATTACCTGCCTATGTAATAAAATATCAATTTCTTATACAACTGTGCAACAGTTTTTTAGAGATTATGTTAAAATTCAAGCAATGGTGTAGCTACGATTT